AAATGGAGGTCACCCATAGTAATAGTGCCAAAACCAGATGGTATCCAATGATTGTGTGGACTACAGCAAAATCAATATAGTTACAAAATCTGATTCATATTCTATTCCACATTTGGAAAACTGTATTGAGAAGGTGGGACAAGCAACTTCTATTTCTAAGTTCGACTTGCTGAGAGGATAGTTTTATAAAGGTACCTTTATCCGAAAGAGCAAAGGAAATTTTGGCTTTCAACACTGAATGGACTGTACCGGTTTAAAGTCATGCCATTTGATATAAAAAAATGCGCCAGCCACATTTGAAAGATTAAACAATAAAGTCATTTCTGGATTACCCTATTGTGTGGTGTATATGGACAATGTCATGATTTTTAGTCACACATGGAAGGATCATGTGTAGCATTTATCAGAATTGTTCAATCAACTTCGGGAGGCAGGCTTGATGATAAACCTGGCCAAGAGTGAATTCGCAAAAGCCCAAATCATGCTCCTGGACATGAAAAGCTGTCCCCACAGGATGGGAAAACAAAGGCTACTGGGGAGTTTCCAATATCATCGAAGAGGGAAGCACTACAATTCCAGGGATGAGTGGTTTCAACAGACGTTCGTACCAAATTTTAGCAGTGCGGTTGTTCCACTGACTGTTGTTGACGAAGTGCAAAAAATGTCCGTGTACAGTGGAATGTCAGAAGGCATTTCACAGCCTGAAAGCTATGTTAACCACTGCCCCAGTTTTAGCCACACTTAATTCGCAAAGCCATTCAGGTGGCCAACGATGTAGATGATGTGGGTGTCGGTGCTGTACTCTTGCAAGAAGGCGATGAAAAGATAGAAAGACCTATTTGGTATTTTTCCAGAAAATTAAATACTCATCAGCAGAAATAAATCGTGATTGAGAAGGAAACCTTGTGTCTTGTATTGATGTTGCAACAATTTAACATTTATATTGCTAGTAATGGGCTGAGACAATTGTATATATTGATAATCATTTTTGGAAGTATTTAAGGATAAAATTTCCAGACGATTGAGATGGAGCTTATTTTTGCAGCCAGTTTGAAAATTATACACGTGGGGGAAACAAGAGAATGTAATTACCGACGCGTTGTTGTGATTTTGATGAAAGAAAACAACTGTTGGTGGCAGGAAAAAACGGACTGAAGTGGTGAATGTTTGGATGCTTAGAGCCACTGTAATGGAACTGTGTTGTAGTGTACTAAATGCACAAGACTAAATGTTTTGAAAAATGAAACCATCTTTGCACATTGATCCTTTTTTTATATAAAGAAGGTGGCTGTGAGAGATGTGTTGTCTTTCTTTAAAAAATGACAAATGGTTGATATAGGTGATGAGAAGACTGCTCCAAAACCAATAAAGTAAACAGCTTGTGAGGGTTTATTAACAGAACCAGGTTTTGTTTTTAAGCTTTAACTTACAGTAGCAGTTGTTGGGGTCTTGTAGCTGGAAGTGGAAGCTCTTATTCCTGTTAGAGATAAAAGCTGGGGTTCTCTTCCTACTATTAGAATTGCATGTGAGACAATTAGTTTTACTGAATTTGCCTTTGCCAAGGGTGTGATTATGGGATGTTATTATGTTGGAACAGTTAAATAGTAGTGGTTAATATATATATTATTTTGTTAAGAATTTCGATACAGTTACAGTTAAGCCAGTTTTCTTTGTCTGTATTTTATTTATAGTGTATGAATAAAGGGTTTTGTTTCAAGCCCAGTAGTTTGACCAACCAAATTGCATCCAGAAAACAACATCTTCCACTTATCTTTAAAATAAGAAAATATTATGTTCTAGATTCTCCTCTTAATATTGTTTTGAGGTGGTTTGGTCTGGTCCATAACAATAGATATGCTGAAAGAGGAAATGAAATGGGAAACATTGATCTGGGATGTGCAAGACTCAGGGGATGCAATTACAGGAATATTTTGACTGAGGCAGTGGATCCACTACATTAACCTCAAAGACCATTGGGTGAAAAGGCAGTATCACAGCAAAAATGCAGGCTCCTAATGTTTACGTACAACTGGACATTCTTACCTCATACTGAGTACAATTTCCAGGCATAAACCAAGTATAGGCCTCTTAAATAAGTACATTAATGCCAGTTAACAGATTATTCATTTCGGATGAGAGAGATAGGCACTGAGCCTGCCTTAATTTGGATTACTCAATAGCCAAAACCTTCAGATCATTTGTTTATGGCATGTGGATGTAAAAGGTCAGCATTTATTGCTTGTCCTTATTTGTCCTTTAGGAGGAGAGGGGTGCTCTCACCCTGAGCTTCTGTTGTTCATATGGGACAGTTAATCTCACAATGCTATTGGAGGAATGTTCTAGGAGTTTGACCCAGCGACTGTGAAGAAACAGCAATATAGTTTCAAATGAGGATGGTATGTAACTTGCAGGGACCTTGTTTTCAGGCACCTGCTGCCCTTGTTCTCACAAGTAGCTGTGGTCATGGGCTTAGAAGGTGCTGTCAAAGGAACTTCAAGCTGCCACAACACCTCTTTTCAAAAGTGGATACTGCTGCCACTCGCTGGAGGGAGTGAATGTTAAGATAGTGGATGGAATGTGGCTCAAGCAGGTTGTTTTGTCCTGGATAATATTGAGCTTAAGTGTTGTTAGAGTTACATTTGTTCTGATGAGTATTAGATTCCAGTTTTCCAAATGCTGTCATGATGTCAGAGGGAGATATGGAGTTCAGCTATTCTGTCCACATGTAGACCAAGGCTGTAAAGAGATATAGAATCAAGTAATGGTGGGATTAAATTATAATAGGAACCACAATCAAAACCCCAGTAAAAGGCGAATAATTCCAGCGTCTTCAGTCTATCCACACATCTGAAATCCTTCATTCCTCAATTCTGGAAAATTTCCTGTGCATATCTCCAAGACCTTGCCATTCTTCCAAAAGCCTGGTGCTCAGAAGAGAATACCAGATTCTAGCTGAGACGTAACTTGTGATGTATAAGGGTTTACCATAACTCCTTTTGTACTCTATCCCTTTATAGATAAAACCAAAGATAATTTTTTAATTGCTATTTCAGCACGCCAAGACACCTCTCAAAAAAAAACTGACCTAGTTCTCGGTTGCTGCACCAGGCTTAAAATTGAATGCTGACGTTTCGGGCCTAGACCCTTCTTCAGAAAAATTTTTCTGAAGGAGGGTCTAGGCCTGAAACGTCAGCCTTCCTGCTCTTCTGATGCTGCTTGGCCTGCTGTGTTCATCCAGCTCTACACCTTGTTATCTCAGATTCTCCAGTATCTGCAGTTCCTACTATCTCTTAAAATTGAACGAATTGATTTACAGTGCCTCTAAATTTTTTTCATTTGAAGCTGCATCAATTCATGTGTTCTGTATTAAATTATTCCTGTCATGTGCCTGCCAATTTCCACCAATCTGAGCCGTCCTGAAGCCTGTTACTATCATTGGAAATGTAGTAAACAATGTCAATGTCAATCTTTGTGTCATCTGTAAACATTGAAATTATGTCCAAATTCAGGTCATTAATGTATCAAAAAGGCTAGTAATCCTAATACCTATTGCTAGGGAACACCACTGTTTGATTTCCTCTGTTATGACATACTCTGTTATGACATACCCTTTGCTATCTGTTACTCTATTTCTGATTTTATGCTGTCATTACCTCTTTTATATCATGTGTTTACATTTGCTGACATGTCTATTCTGACACCCAGGCAGAACACCTGAGAGAAGCTTTTTAGTCAGGATTTTACTTAACATATGATGTTTCTATTGTTTGTTTTAATTGTGTATGTCTGTGTAGATTCTTGTATGTTAGCATAATAATATTCATTATGCTGACACACAATACTATGCTTTCTTCTCTCTGCTACAGCTATTCTACATGATCCCTACCTACAGTATAGTTGGTCAGTAATTGAAACCTGGTTGCTGTTTCACACTGCACACAGTTGTGGATCCAAATTATTCACTGCATGAGCTACCAGTAGCCAGTGCTATTTTAGCTATTGGTGTTTTGCTGCAGCTTAAGTCAGTTATCTAGAGGTTCTTGTTATGGATGCCAGTCAGACAACCTGCCTCTTCCTGTGGTTTGTCATGCTTTCCATGAATGAGACCAAGTCTGAAGCATGGACAAGTATAAAATTGAGGAACTTTACCTTTGTCCAAATATCCTAAAGCCAGTAATTATTGCACCCGTGTGACAGAGTACATTCATTAGTGAATATCTTCCTGAAGGATGCTCTCACTCTGAGGTATCTGCTGCAAAAGTCAATAAAGCTGTACAGTAGAATGAAAGTGGCAAACTAGATGATAAAGATCTAATTCTTTTGGTACTAGATGGTATTTTCTTGTACACTCGGCTGCTCTTGGTCATTGATTTCAGATGGACACTTGAAGATTGATTTAATGGAGACCCTATTCGGCAACTAATATCCTTTGCCCCTTCCCTTCTCAAGACCATCATTACCATGTGAAAAGTGTGTAGTTATGTTCTGCCAGCAGCAGTGAAGCAATGGAAGTTGCAGTTCTAAGGCTTGAACGTGTAGATCTCCTAATTCACTAAGAAAACATTGGCAGCTAGATGTATTGAGGTATTTGGCTACTTCGTGAACAATTACTTTTTGATGCAAATTGTGACTAAAAGTTAGACGATATTTTGAGTGAGGTAGGTGACAGCGAAAACACTGGAGTCAATGAATTAGAGGAAGTTAGATCCTGTGACTAGGGAGCAGGCTGTGGTTGCTGGGGTTCCCTAGGAGGAAGTGAATTTGGTGGCGCAAATTTTATTTGAATGAATGAATCTCTCAATTTGAACTTGTGTGGATTGAACATAATTATTCCGTTACAGTGAGCTTGTAGGCTACTGGGCTATAGAGTTAACAATCTTATTTATGAAAGTAGTTAAAGCACCCACTTTACTGGAGAACATTTACTACATAATCTGCTTGTTCTAAAATTTTGAACCCTGTGATAACCTGGAATTTGTTTATCTGCATGTGTTTCTTAGGTGCAGTAGCAAGTACAGAAGTGAAATTAAGACTTCAGGAGTTTGTCCTGAATAAAAAGAAAGCTGCAGCACACAGGGCGATAAATCATTCCATTCCAAATGACCCAAGATTTTGGTACGGGTAAGTGTATCTGATTAGTAACAATAATGTGATCATGTTTTCACTGACATTTCTATAGCCAACTCAAACATCTGGTATGTAGATACCCATTTTAATTAAAGTCTTCCAAATCAAGCCACTGAATAATCCACACAAGTAAGTTTTTTGTTTGCCTTATACTCAATACCAATCCTCTCTCTTCAGAAACGTTCTCCTCTTTTCTCCTTTGCATTCTCTGATACTTTGAATTTCTCCTTTGGGGTGATGGGTGCTGTGAGAAATACAGGAGTGGGAGTTTCAGAGCAATGAAAATAGGGACGGAGTTCAGAAAATTGGGATGTGTGCACCTTCTTTCCTCATGCACTAACTTTTAGAAGGCTTCTTATTGCCCAACTTTCTTTCCTTCCTCCTTTTCTATGCTACAGATTCTAGGAAGACTTGTGATTTAATGACGCCTCATGATGTTGATCAGGAAAGTACTGCGGTTGAGCGTAGAAAGAGGGGAAAAAAGATAAAGGGAAAGCAGATACTTAATATGAAGTATTTCAGCTTTTGTTTCAAAATAGCAGGGATGCTGGAAAAAAGCCCATGTCAACAATCTGTAGAATTGTAAGTGTAAGGATCTGAACTTTTCAGAAGCTGGTGGTCTTAGTTTAGTGCTAGCATGAGTTTGTCATTTTAAAGATGTAGGTGAGAAAGGAGTTATAGTTTGAGGTAACATTTCATTTCACCTCAAACTATAAGATGGTTACTATGGTAAGAAATTGTTAGATGGCGTATGATCTAATGCTGAATGGAGCAATTAAGGATTAGCCTAAAAATCCATTGATTTACTTGAAAAAGATGGAAACCGTATCACATTTAGTTACTAATACAAAGTAATGCTTGCCAATTATAAATCTACCAGGTCATTGTGATATCTCAGGGTCAAATCCAGTCCTATTTATTTTTGCTTAGGATGTAATAATTATATTTTTGTTTTAAGGTGTTCCTGTGAGTCAGTATCGGGTTTATTTATTGGATTTCTGCCTCAATTACAATAACTATGATCTGGGCAAAATAAGTGATGTTGAAAGTCAAAGACCTACTAACACTTATGCTGAAACCTGGACCCTAGGATTTGCTGGTTAGCCATTTAACCATCTCTGGCTGTGCAGGGATTGAGATGATCTCACTTCACATTTCTGTCATATTCATCTCATAATATAACCGATGTTAATATTATACAAATTATCGCTACTTTTCAAATTAAACAAAACTTGACCTTTTAACAAAATTGTGTTCAGAGACATATCAGAGTGATAGTAGATTAGAATACCATCATTACTCCTTAGAAGTTAATTTCTAATTAACCCAAGATTAAAGTCCAGAAAAGCTAACTGTAAGGACTCTGCATACCCATAGAAAAATGAACTTGGGGCTCCCATTTAACTCCAGATGTATGTCTGTTGTCTTAACAGGCATAAAATGAAGATATTTCTGCATTTTGCTATATTAGAGATTAATCTATCTTTTGTTGAAATAAAATTTTAGCAAAATGTATATCTAAGAGATTACACAGTATGGAATTGGAAGAGCACAGTAGGCCAGGCCGCATCAGAGGAGCAGGAAAGTTGACGTTTCGGGTCAGGACTCTTCTTCAGAAATGGGGAGAGAGAAGGGAGCTGGGAAATAAATAGAGAGAGGAGAGATGAAGTTGGTAAGAGTTGTTTTTTTTTTCCTTTTGATCAAGACACAAAACTGGTGTGATCAGCTAGCATTTTCAATTAGAATTGGCTGTCCTAATTCATCTTTCTTTGTTTATGCCTATGCTTATGTCCAAAAATAGAAGTCATAAAGGTTGATGAAATGTGAACAATGGATTAACAGGCCATAGAATAAATAAAATGGTCTGATCGCTCAGTCATAGAGTCATACAGCACTAAAACAGACCCTTTGGTTCAACCAGTCCATGCTGAACATAATCCCAAACTAAGCTAGTCCCACCTGCCTGCTGTTGGCCCATATCCCTCCAAACTTTTCCTATTCATGTACTTATTCAAATATCTTTTAAATGTTGTAATTGTACCCACATCCACCCCTTCCTCAGGAACTTCATTCTACATGCAAACCACCCTCTGTTTAAAAAAAAAGTTTACCTTTTTATGTCATTCTTAAATCTCTCTCCTTACATTAAAAAGGTGCCCCCTCGTCCTGAAATCCCCCATTCTAGGGAAATCTCCCATTCCTTGCACAAAACCAGGCTGACTATCCCTAATCAATTTTTGCCTCTCTAAATGTCCATAAATCCTATCTTTATAATCACCTCTCATTATTTTATGAAATTCTACCAGGCCGTCTGTCTACCTCCTATGCTCCAGTAAAAAAAAACTCAGCCTTTCTTTGTAACTCAAACCTTCCATACCTGGCAACACCCTGGTAAATCTCTTCTGAACCCTCTCCAGCTTGATAACATCCTTCCTATAACTGGGCGACCAGAACTGGACACAATATCCCAGAAGAGGCCTCACCAATGTCCAGTACAACTGCAACATTACTTCCCAACTCCTATACTCCTATACTCAAAGGACTGAGCAGTGAAGACAAGCATGCCAAATGCCTTTTTAGCCACCCTGTCTATATGCGATGCAAACTTCAAAGAATTATGTATCTGTACCTCTAGGTCCCTCTGTTCTACAACACTACTCAGGGCCCTACCATTAATTGTGTAAGCCCTACCCTTGTTTGTTGCACCAAAATGCAATGTCTCGCATTTATCCAGATTGAACTCCATCTGCCATTTCTCAGCCCATTGATCCATTTGATTAAAATCTCTGAATTCTTAGAAAACTTTCTTCACTGTCTGCTCTGCCACCAATTTTGGTATCGTCTACAAACTTACTAACCATGCCTTCTATATTCTCATCCAAATCATTTATATAAATGACAAACAAAAGAGGACCCAGAACCGATCCCTGTGGATAACCGCTGGTCACAGGACTCCTGTCCAAAAAGTAACCCTCTACCATTACTGTGAAGCCAATTATGTATCCAATTGGCAAGCTCACTCTGAATCCCATGTGACCTAATTTTACTAATTAGTCTACCACATGGAACCTTGTCAAAGGCTTTACTAAAATCCAAATTCACAACATCTACTGTTCTGCCATCAATCTTTTTAGTAACTTCCTCAGAAAACTCAATCAAGTTTGAGAGACACAATTTTCCTTGCACAAAACCAGGCTGACTATCCCTAATCAATTTTTGCCTCTCTAAATGTCCATAAATCCTATCTTTTATAATCACCTCCAACAATTTACCCACAAATGAAGTCAGACTCATGGGTCTATAGTTCCCCGGTTTCTCCTTACAACCTTTCTTAAACAAAGGTACAACAGTAGTCACCCTCCAGTCATCAGACACCTCACCCGTAGTTATAGATGATGCAAATATTTCTGCAAGGCGTCTCATAATTTCCTTCCTTAATTCCCACAATGTTCTGGGATGCATTAGATCAGGTCCTGGAGATTTATCCACCTTTATATTCTCTAAGACCTCTCGAACTTCCTCCTCTGTAATATGAACTGTTTTTAAAACATCAAAGTTTATTTCTGTACATTCACTAGGCTCCATTTCTTTCTCTGCAGTAAAAACAGATGCAAAATATTCATTTAGTATTTCTCCCATCTCCTGGAGTTCAACACAGACAACTTCCTTGATTTTTAAGAGGCCCTATCCTCTCTCTAGTCACCCTCTTGCTCTTAATGTATTTGTAGAGTCTCTTTGGAGTATCCTTAATCTTATCTGCCAATGCTATCTCATATCCCCTCTTTGCCTTCCTGATTTCTCTCTTGAGAGCCCTTACGTTCTTTATATTGATTCAGAGGGCCAATAAAACCAATTGTTTATATCTAAAATAAGATTCTGTTTTATTCATGACTAGAACTTCAATGTCTTTATTCATCCATTGTTCCTTAATCTTACCAGCCTTATCATTCATTCTAACAGGAATGCAATGCCCCTGAAGTCTCATCCCACTCTTGAACGCCTCCCACTTGTTAAAAGTCCTTTTACCTCCAAACAGTCAACTCCTATCAACTTTTGAAAGTTCCTGTATCATTAAAATTTGCCTTAATCGAATTAAAAGCTTTAACTTTTATGGAAGGCTTATCCTTTACCACAAGCATTTTTGAAGCTAATAGAATTATGATCACTAGACCCAAAGTGTTCTCCCACTTACTTCAGTCACCTGCTCTGCCTTATTTACCAAAAGAAGGTCTAGTTTTGCTCCTCTTTTGAGAGAGCATTGGCAGATAAGGTTAAGGATACTCCAAAGAGATTCTACAAATGCGTTAAGAGCAAGAGGGTGACTAGATAGCGGGTAGGGCTTCTTAAAAATCAAAGAGGTTGTCTTTGTTGAACCCAGGAGATGGGAGAGATCCTAAATGAATATTTTATGTTAGTTTTAAAAACAGTTCACATTACAGAAGAGCATCCACATATTGATAAAGAAAATTTTCCTGGATGCATTTGGCAAATTCTTCACCTTTAACGTTGTGGTAGCCCCAGTCAATGTTTGGAAAATTAAAATCCACATTATTGCAACCTTATTATGCTTACATATATCTGAGATCTCCCTACATATTTGTTTCTCAGTTTCTCTCTTACTGTTGGGGGGCCTATAGTGCAATCACAAAGTGATCGTTCTTTTCTTATTTGTACCCATGTAATTTTTCTTATTTGTACCCATGTAATTTTACTGGACGTTTTTTCAGAAATATCTTCCCTAGTTAGAGCAGTAATGTATTTCTTAATCAAAAACACCCCCCACCCCGCCAACTCTTCTTTCCTCCTTTTCTATCCATCCTGTAGCATCTAAAACCCAGAACATTGAGTTGCCAAGTCTTGTCCAGTTCTGAGCCAAATTTCTGTAATCCTATGTTCTTAAACAAGGCCTGAGTTCACAGCCTTATCTCTAAGACCCCTTGCATTGAAATGGTTGCAATATAGTTCTTCAGAGTTACTACATACTCTGACTCTCT